CCTTCATTTCTTATCAGCAACTGGAAGCCTTACAGCATCTCTTAAGTAAGGTTTCAACTGAGTTAGAACTAGAACCCAGGGCTCCTGGTCCCTGATTCAGTCAGCTGCTTTGCCAGTGTTCCATTCTGCCTCTCATTCCTTTTATTGGTGCTCCTCAGGGAAACCCAAGTTGGCATTAAACATTTCTAGAAACCTGAGTTATCTGAGTTTTCTTAGCAGTTAAACAAATTTTTCTTACTTCTGAGAGGAGATAAATTGTATGGTCATCACACAAATGTCTTACTTATTAAACCTGTACTGTGTTCTAAATTCAGTAGAAAGTGATTTAGGTTTTACTTTATTTTTATTTTTATTTTTTTGCCAGTCAAATTTAGCAGTGAGGGGTTGTATACCAACTTTAGTGACACTAATGTTATTAGTAACAAGTTCTGATAACCGTAGGTTTTACTTTGAGAGGCATAAAAAGCTCTCCAACATCACCTATTCATGTATTTTTACCTAGAAGCGATTAATACTGTTTTTCATCTAGAAAAATAACACTTAATTATAAAGGAATTAACTCATAACAGCTTTCTTCTGCGTAGCCATGTTTTGTGTGCAGTTGGCTTTAAAGAAAAGAATAGATTTCTTATTTTTTGTAAGGTTATAGAAACTAGCAGCTTTTATTATTCTTATAGAATTAATACAGAGCTGAGTAATATAATATTTTTTTTATCTTTAAGTTATTTTTTTAAAAATCTTTAATATATATGTTCAAAAACTTGATTAGGAGGAGGAGTTCAAAGTCATTCTTGTTTCCCTCCCTTCTCTTACTGTCCTCGTTATTTCTTTCTCTACCTTCTTTCCATTTATGTTAGAAAATAATCTTCCTGTCAGCCTGCCCCCAATTCCAGTGATGGGCACATAAATGTAATTCTCTTGGTTGGATGCAAAGTAACTGACATGTCTTGTCTTCCTGGGGCTCTAATTGAGTATCATGTGCTAATACCCCCAGTGGCATCAGAGCCTTTCCTGTTATCCCTACCTGCCCTGACCTGTTGATTTTGTACTTTTACTTCACTTCAGCCACACCATGTTACCGTACGTGCCTCTTCCAGGCGTGGAAGCTGCATATAATACCAGCGGCAGTCAGATGAGGTAAGCACAGGAGAGCTTGAGGGGTGTGTGTGTGTGTGTGTGTGTGAGAGAGAGAGAGAGAGAGAGAGAGAGAGATCTGAAAATGCACTTGCATGCGTGTGTAGGGGGGGCATGGGTCAGGCATGGCGTGACTGTGACCTCTTATCCTTGTAAACCTGATCTACATCTCTCAGATTAAACAACTCTGAGATTCAAATGTGTTCTATTACAAGTAGCAACTAGGGATGTGTAATCAATGCCATTTATTTATTTATTTTTTTTAAGGTGAAAATGACTCGCCAGCTTATTGTACCAGAAGTCGCCTCTCAAGCTTTTTCATGTCTGTTATTTAGCCAGCTTCAGCCTCTGGATAGGGTTGACTTCATCTGAGCACTATTCATTCGTTCAGTTCACTAAATGTCTTCTTCCCCTAAAAAAGTCTGTTCCTTTTTACATTTTTTTCTTATAAAACTCCATACCAATGAAATGGATCGACCACATTCTTATAATTGTGTACAGGTGTAGGCACAGGTTATGTCCAAAAGTGATTAGAAAACAGGTTGACTAGTGATAATCATTCCTGGAAAGAAGGAAAGGCTTCAGCTCTGGTCTGAGTATTAAGAAGTTGAAATGCTTTTCATGTTTTTCTTCTGTCTTTCTCTACATGGTGCTAGGTTAGAGCCTCCATTCCCTGCCTTGGTACCAAAGTCTGTCTTGGTAGCAGAATCAGCTGTCAGCAAGCTCCTGCTTTCAGCCTCTGAGTTCCAAGTTCCTGGATTTGATGAGCTGGATGGTGTGACAGTAGCATGTCCCTGCCCACAGAGCAGCCCTCCAGAGCAGAAAGAGGTAAATGTAAAGTGCTGGTGAGGTCAGGTGACAGGACATTGGAGGTGGCCATCATCGACTCCTATCACATGATAGGTACGGACTGGATAATCAAAGACGAGTGAATGATAATGTTTTTTAGTTTTGCAACATCTGCTGTCTCCAAGAGTTACAGACTCTCATACCAATAATCTCAATATCTGAACTGAATGTACAATTCTGTTTTAATAATATGAAGGGGGTAGTTGCTGAAAACACAGCAGGTGTAGGAGTGGAAGCTTTGTTATAAACTACTTATTATAATCACCTGTAAACTGAGGAAGCAATGTCTTGAATGTCTAGAAAGGGGACTTTATATACTTGAAATGTCCTACGATATGCCAGGCACAGTGGTGTGCGCCTGCAGTCTTGGGAGGCTGAGGTGGGAAGTTCGTTTGAGCCTAGGAATTTGAGACCAGCCTGGGTAACAAGGCGAGACCCCGTCTCAAAAAAGAAAAAAAACCCAAACAAAATGTCTCACAATTTGACCATCTTTCTTGTTAACCCTTAAAAATAGGCTGAGCCAGAGAAGAGGCCAAAGAAAGTCTCACAGATTCGCATCCGGAAAACCATTCCTAGGCCAGATCCTAATCTTACTCCCATGGGCCTTCCTCGACCCAAAAGGTAAGCTCCTTCTCTAATGCAAACTAGGTTCACTTTTTTTGAAGAATTGTTTGGCAGAATATAATTACCCTTTAAGTGGTCTTATACTCTTGAGTCATTTATTATACTTCTAGGAATTTATCGTAAAGAATTAATTAGTAATGTGGCTGGATATTGGTGTGTACGGATATTTTAATGCATTCATAATAATTTAGATTAAGCTTTTTGTGCCAGATGTCGTACTTTCCCTTTGCAAACACAATCTCAGTTCATGCTCCAATGACACTGGGAGGTGAGTGCTGTCGTCATCCCACGTTTAGGTAAGGATATTGAGACTCAGTGGTTTAGAAACCTGTGTTAAGTCCTTGTGTCAATCCTGGCACACATGGTTTCTGTCTGTCACAGGTATTACCCACCCCCAGAGCCCAAGCTCCCAACACTAAACTGTACACTAAACTGGGAAAGGACCTAAATGTCTTGAGTTTAATTTTTTTATAAAGTTCTCCAGACTTATATTTTCTTGTGATTGATTTCACACCTTCATTTCTTATCAGCAACTGGAAGCCTTACAGCGTCTCTTAAGTAACCCAAGGCAAGTTATTTAACCTTCCTGAGGTTCAGGAACTTATGTGTAAAATATGAATAAGAATCCCCAACACTTAAGACAATATTTGAGAAAAAAATCTGTACTGTGTCTTTTATAGTGCTTCACACTATAATGTAATAATAGTTCACACAAATGCAATAAACAGTTAACCATTAATTATGGTGATGATTGTTGTTCCACTTCTCCCCTGTGATTTTTATTTTAATATATTGTATTTTTATTTTACACATCTTTTCTTGGTCACCCTTATCGTATGTCTTTTCAAGAGAAATTTTTAAAATAATTTCAGATATCTTAGATTTGAATAGTACTTACTATTAGAATGAAGTAGGATTCAATATCAGTTGTATTCTATCTTGCATTTGTATGTCTGAAGAACCTTGTTTATATAAATAAGTAGTCTAGAGAGGAAAGAGTTTTAATATAGTAAAGTCATTCAATTCTTTCAGCTTTCAAGTTATATGTTTTCCTTATATTTAATGAAAGCAAAGAATTGAAAAGCAGTGAATCACAAAGGTTCTATAACTCAAGCATTGGAGGCAATTACTGTCTTAGAGTCTGGGAAGGACACCAAAAAGTTCCAGTAAGTATCAAATGCCTGATACTGTAGTTACTCTTGCACTTAGAGTTACCATATTCAATCCAATTTACTGAAAGGGGGTTGGAAAAGATAAGATTTGTTAATAAATCTTTACCTAAACCTATGGTATCTTTTGATAAAATGCTTTTATTCAAATGTACTTTTTTTTTTTTTTCCCCCTGAGACAGGGTCTCACTCTGTTGCCCAGGCTAGAGTGCAATGGCGTCATCATAGCTCACTGCATAGCAACCTCAAACTCCTGGGCTCAAGCAATCCTCCTGCCTCAGCCTCCAAAGTAGCTGGGACTACAGGCACACACCACCATGCCCAGCTAATTTTTTTCTGTATAATTTTAGTTGTCCAATTAATTTCTTTCTATTTTTAGTGGAGACGGGGTCTCGCTCTTGCTCAGGCTGGTTTCGAACTCCTGAGCTCAAACAATCCGCCCACCTCAGCCTCCCAGAGAGCTAGGATTACAGGCGTGAGCCACTGTGCCCAGCCGCTGTTAGCAGACTTTTAATGATTAAGAATCATATAAAAAATCAGAACAGAAGTCTCATTATTGCTTCCATCTTTAATATAGGAGAAACGTGTATTGCAACAGACCAATTGGCATGGCAGCTCATTGTAGAATTTTTTGTTGTTAACAGGAGTATAAACACTTGTTACATATATTTCATATATATGTATATATATTTAAATCACGTGTTGAATGGAACTTTTTTTTCCATGCTATACACAGTCTGCAGGAAAGTGAAACTTTTCTTTTTAATTGATGGCATACTGTTAATAATGAGACGAGAATAGCTTAAAAAATTATATACAACTAAATACATGAACAAACTATTTGTAGTGTTTGAAGCTCTCTTTCCTAATTAGGGTCTCTTTCTTAAGTAAGTATTATTTGATGATAATTGGGGTGAATGACGCAAAGTTACTCTGACAACCCTTTTCACAAGGTACCTGAAATCAGAATATCCTAATGCTGGCCCAAAAACCCTATTTCCAGAACCACTCTTCTCTTTTAATGGAACTGTGTGTAAGATGGGGAAAAACAAGTCCAAGATAGATTTACAGTAATTCCATTAATCACTGAAGAGGGCTTAGCAAGATCAGTGATTTGATTTATACATAAAGGTAGAATTCAGGATGGATAGGGACTGAATTTTTGGGAATGGAGAAACTTGCAAGAGCATTCAGGAAACTTCTCAGATGTATCACTTTTAGAAATTAAAGATTGAGAGATAGATTCCCCTAAAGCTAGGTTCTTGTATACTCTGTGGAAAGTCTTTGGTACACTAGTGTAAACACCGCTGGTCTAGGGTGTATAATAGCAATATAATGTAGCTTTTTGGGTTTTTACTGTAGTATCAGATTTCCATTCGTGTCCAGTCAGGAGACAGAAACCACACAGTATTTTAAAGAGCAGAAGTTTAATATAAAGTGTTAAACTATGATAGGAGAGTAGCCATACATGTAAAGAGAATGCTGCTAGATACATTATGGCTGAGGGTGAGTACCAAAGGAAGGACAAACTTGGAAGGGGCACCACCTCCCCAAGGTTGGACTTGAGACTTGGTTGGAGAAGGTATGGTTGCCGCCCATTGGATGGTTGTGATGCAGAGGCCGGAGCTGGGCAAGCAGGAAAGAACAGCAACCTTCTGGAGCACAGACAAGCTAAGGCTGGTGGGCAGGCATGTGGAGCGTGTTGGGACACTGCTGTGGTGCAAGGCCTAGAGCACGTGATGTTTGCTTCAGGAGGGCCACGGAAAACAAACCTTAGGAAGTCAGGGTGCCATTGAGGATGTAAGTCCTGAGGTACCCTACCTGTGTTGGGAAGCCTGCAGCAAGGTGGTCACCATGCTAAGACTTGCAAGGTCACTGAGGGACTACGTGTTCTAGCCACATAGCTAGGTCAGAGCCCCTCCAGATTCCCTGCTCCTGACACCTCTCCATACACGCATGGACCATGCAGCTGGAGCAAGAACCAAAGCTCACCTAGGCTGTGTGAGGTAGCTCACGCCTGTAATCCTAGCACTTTGGGAGGTTGAGGCAGGAGGATTGCTTGAGGCCAGGAGTTCGAGAACAGCCTGGACAGCATAGCAAGACCCCGTCTCTACAAAAAATTGAAAAATTAGCTGGGCACGGTAGTGTACGCCTGTAGACCCAGCTACTTGGAAGGCTCAGGCAGGAGGATTGCTTAATCCCAGGAGTTTGAGGCTACAGTGAGCTATGATGACGCCACTGCACTCTAGTCTGAGTAACAGAGACCCTGTCTCAATTACAAAAAAAAAAACCTCACCAAACCAGGAAGAGAAGCTCCCTACCTCCTTCCTGCATTGTTCCTCCAGCACCTTCTACTGACAAAGCTTAGCATCAAACTCACTGTAGAGGAGAAATGCTTAAAGGACCCAAGATTCCATTATCACTGAGCAGGTACCAAAGGTGAAATTGAGAAGCAATAATTTGGTGATTGGCATATTCCAGTGAACAGTAAAAGTTGAACACATTATTCACTTAACCAAGAGCTGTTCTTTTTAAAAACAGATTTGAATAAATGGAAAGGTATGTGTTTTAACACAGTCACAAAGTTCAAATGAAAAAATAAAGAAGCAAGAATAGCCAGGAAAACTTGGAGAAGGAGTGAAATAAGAGTACTAGCCCTAAAAGATATTAAAATATAAATTCTCAATAATGAGCCAGAGCATAAATATATAAATTGGCAAACCAATAGAAAGTCTAGAAATAGACACAAATACATAGAGAAATTTTGTGTATGGCAAAGATGTCCTCTCAAATCAATGATAGAAAGATGGAGTATTCAGTAAATTGCTGCAGGAATAATAGGGTAGCCATTTAAGAGTAATAAAGTTGGATCTATACCTTTTACCTTTCACCAGAGTAAAGTCCAAATGAATCAGATATAAATGTAAACAAATCAAACTAAGAATACTTGAAGAAACCATAGGAAATTTCTAATTAAAATGGCTAACTATACTACAAATCCAGAAGCCATAAAATAAAAGATTGAAGAATATGTTACATAAAAATGAAGAACTGCTGGGAAAAAAAAAAGTACCAAAAGCAAAGTGAGAATATAAATTTGTATCCCAAAGGACTAATTTCTATATACTCATATGCACATAGCCTCTAAACATTAATAAGGAAAAAAATGAAAATCTTACTAGAAAAATGGGCAAAGGATATAAATATATGGTCCATTCAGGAAATACAAATGGGTCTTAAACATACGGAAAAATGATCATTCTCATGCATAGAGAGAAAACCACAAATTAAAAAATACTCTGTTACTATTAACTTGCACTTGTCAAATTGGCAAAGACACAATGTTTGATAAGTAAGTAATAACACATTGCTTATTTCAAGGGCTTTATCAAAAGAATAAAATGTCATGCAGTCTTTAAAAAAAGAAAACAAGATTTAGTTCTTTGTATACCAGAATGATTTGTATTTGTATACCAATGTTGATAGTGTTCTAAGGTAATAGTACTGTCTATAGAATGCTACCATTTGTATAAAGTAGTGGGGGTTTCAGGGAAATGATCTCTTAAGCCAGGTATAATAGTGTGTATCTATAGTCCCAGCTACTCCAGAGGCCAAGGCAGGAGGATCGTTTGAGCCCAGGAGTTCAACACTAGCCTTGGCAACCTAGCAAGACCCCCATCTTAAAATAGAGAGGGGAAAAAATTTCTTTAGAGTTCTGTATTTTATATAAATAATTTCTGCAGTTAGGTCTTCCATAAACATTTATAAAGGAGAGACATAGTTTATCAAAAACTGAATTTGAACTGGCCCCAGATGCCTGATATTTTG